ATTATAGATTAATTATATCTAAATGATCTTAAATGATTTTTTCGTACATCTTGGTATTTGGAATTTATTTTATTATACATCATTTAAATTTAACTAGTAATTAGTTAATTATTTCAACAACAACAAAAACAATAAAAAAAAAATAGTTTTAATAATAAAATAAACAGAACATTGAGTACCACTCCTACAGTCTTACTATCATTTTGTTAATAAAAATTTAACAATAACGAGTATTGGCTCTGGTACGTGTTGATGAGTTCGAGTGTAACAAATCATTCAAAGCTGGAAACTTTGGAAAACTGATTATGGGAAGCTCTAAAAATAAGCTTCTTTAAGCATTTTATTTTGTGACACATGGTTGCGCATCTAGCGTGTATAAAATATGTAATCATCATGTAAACGTATCAACTGATATTCGGAGGCATCTTTACAAAAGTTACAAAAATGCTAAAATCCACCTTAAACTCTGATAGTACGGATTGATTTTACTTTATAAATACACTTTTAAGGAAGATTAAAATATATGATATTTATAATGCATTATACATAGGCAATATATTATTTAATATATATATATATATATATATATATATAATATATATAATATGTCTGCAAGATCTGATGACTTTTGTATTAAAAGCAATACAAGAACACAAGGGGAGGCCGAAATCTTAGCTCTTGCGATTTTTTATTGTTTATTGATTTTACTTTATAAAGACACTTTTAAGGAAGATTAAAATATATGATATTTATAATGCATTATACATAGGCAATATATTATTTAATATATATATATATATATATATATATATATAATATATATAATATGTCTGCAAGATCTGATGACTTTTGTATTAAAAGCAATCCAAGAACACAAGGGGAGGCCGAAATCTTAGCTCTTGCGATTTTTTATTGTTAGGCATTCGAGTGCTGGGTGCAATGACCAACATCCTTGAAGTAGTTACTGATCAGGATCTGAATACAGCACATAACAAAGTTTGATTGCTGTCTTCGTCTTCAAACGGGACGCCTCTTTCATATCGTTTCGTCCAAACTTCAACCCACTAACACCATCGTGGAGCATGGCCAAATTATTGATAAGTTGCGAATAGTCAAACAGCGTGGCGGGAAAAAAACAACAACAATAGCAGACGGATAGATTAGCTAGGTAGTGTTTGATTTCAACTGTCAGCTAGGGCCTTGACTACGTGTAAGTACTGTGCTACGCATTATTCAAAACTGCCGACCTAGGGATATTGGCAGTGAATTGATGGAATGTGGCGAAATACTCGGTTCTTTGGTTGAAACAACGACTGTGAGTATTTCTGACAAAGTTGTCTATGTTTACTTATAACAGCTGTAGGGTTTGTCGTTAAATTGGGGGGGGGGGATCTATTAAAAGAAACTCTGGTCCATTTCATTAAGATATTAATAAAACATCCTGGTATTCCGTTTGGGCCAATCTCTCAGCAGCTGTTCGGTACTTCTTCTACTTGGGCCAATCTCTCAGCAGCTGTTCGGTACTTCTTCTACTTGGGCCAATCTCTCAACAGCTGTTCGGTACTTCTTCTACTTGGGCCAATCTCTCAGCAGCTGTTCGGTACTTCTTCTACTTGGGCCAATCATCTCAGCAGCTGTTCTGTACTTCTTCTACTTGGGCCAATCTCTCAGCAGCTGTTCAGTACTTCTTCTACTTGGGCCAATCTCTCAGCCATTGTTCGGTACTTCTTCTACGTTGATCTGAGCCGGCGTAGTGGGTCTTAACCTAGGCGAAAACGTGTTTTGCGATTTTATTTTACGAACCGTGTTACAAACAGAATTGTACAACTATTCATAGGCGTAAACACATTGTTGGAGGAGATGACTTACGACAAAAAAAAACGTTGTCTGAAAATAGCGACATGACGTAAAACGACGTGAAGTTTTCCGGTCTCCGAAATGACGAACCATTTTAACAGCGAGTCACTCTCATCCGACAAGGATCACCCTCGTGAGTGTGAACACAACTTTACTAGCACTTCGTCATCACCAAATGTATTCTTTAATATTCATATTCTTCAGAGATACACAGTCACACAACTTAATTCTGTCAAAGACATGGTGAAAATAACAATCGTTTGCCTACTCCAGCACACTTTCTTGTTCACGTATTCACTCCGAAATCCGCTCGGCCATAACAAAAAAAGACCTCATCCCCGACACCCCCATAAACCCCCCCCCCCCCCAAAACAACAACAAAACAAAACAAAACAAAAATCGTCCCAAACACCAACTACATAGCAATATCTACACGACACAACTAATCTCAGAACCAAACATGCTCACTAACAAATCATTTACAACGCCCACAACACTCGCAGCAGTGATTCTCATTCCCTTGGCAGAATGGTTTGTTCATTTACCAATGCGAGGTGTCGAGAAAGGACAATAGATAAGTGTGCCGCAAGTACAAGAGATAATTTTGTTCTTAACAATGAAATAAAAAAAGATGGGAAGCGAAGTGAAGAATTGGTAGTAGCGTTGAAACTTGCTTATGGCCCAGATGGTTTGCTCTCTAGGACCCCTTTGCGCAAGCGGCCATGTTCTAGTGATATATTGCCTCTGTAATTGAAATGCACAGTGGCGACTAAAAAAGAAAGACAACTGATATCAATACTTTAATTTTAACTTCAATTTTAATTTCAACTAACAAAACAAATAAATTTCCATGCTCCACCCAGGAGTCCACATGGGGGGGGGGGGACAATTATATTTTAAAAGATTACAGATAGAATCAGTTTGATGCAGAAACAGCATTTGACCTAGTTAAACATTAGCAAACGTGTGTGGATGGCACTTAAAACAAGGTTTTTTTTTTTTTTTTTTTTTTTTTAAAAACAGCACTACAACATGACCGTATTACAGCTAAAATGTAGCAGTTACCCGTTCAGCACTTCACTCACTACGCCAGCACCACTTGTGTTTATTGAATCGTTGATTTCCTCTGACCTCGCTAGCGCTTTTGGTACAATGCTGGCTTAGCATCACTTTTGTTCTACGGAGCTTTGTTTGAATATTTAAAAATGAATGATCTCATTACATTTAGTACATGTCACTTCCACTTAAGAGCAGTGACGCATCTCTAAACCTCATTGTCGCGACTAAACTTTGTTGGATTTGAGCTTTCGTTTCGCAAATAAAGTTCCGACTCAAATAATTTTTTTTTAAAAATCATTTAAAACATTTCTTTATGTTTAAAAAAAAAAAGTTCCATTTTTTAAAAAAAAAGTGTAGATTAGATAGCTACACAGTTTTAAATGACATCCTGGGTGTTCACTCATCTTATGACAGTTTCAAGGTGGAGACATGTTCTTAAAATGCAGCCATTTGATTCAACACTTGTGTTTTACATGTATTAAAAAAAAAGATGTGTTCAACTCCGATCTACAAAATATGATTAATTCAACGCTGTGTTCTCAAAATGATTCACTTACAAGCTAAAATGTTAAAGGATGAATGTATTCTTTAGGAGCTACGAGGTGAGCTGTTTGTTTCCAACTCTGCCAGGGTTCATTGTAGAGCTTTTCTGGTGTATCGTTAAGTTTCAGCTTGGTAAACATATAGAGATAAAAATAAAAAGTATTTATCCTTAAAGCATGACATTTAAATTTTTTAAAGGCCCCAAACTTATCCACTCCGCTCAGGACTATCGAATGTATCCCTAATTTAATTATGATTGTTACAATCACTTTATACTTCTCCACTGTCTCCACATAAAGGCTCGATCACATGTTGTTTTCAAGTGGCATGCATACTATCACTGGCTAAGCTTGTGCTTTTCAATTAATCCATTTAAAAACGAATACTTAGTTTCATTTTATTTAACCAAAATAACAAATTAAATGCTAAAGATAAGAATTTTAAAAAAAATCTAATTTAAATACACTTTTGCTTTAAATCCATTCAAGAATTTCAAGAATAAAGACTAAGAAGAAGTAAGGGATGAGGAAGTGCAATTTTGGTGTTAACAGAAAAGCTTGATTATTTTACATGAAAATTCTCTGTGAACCTTCATATTCATAAATAATAATAATAATTTTAAAAAAAAACACAAACATTTACAATGCATACCAAGTGTATTAAAAAAAGTCAATGCCAAATGGCTAGATAATATATTATATAGTGAATTATTAATTTTCATCTGCAGAAAAATGACAGCGTCAAACATTTTGCTTCCGTTAATTTTGTTATGGATTAGATATACTACTACAGAAGGAAACAATTTCAATGCATTCCATACGTCTAATCTTCGAGATGGATTAAGTTCAAAACCTGAACTTATGGACACTGCCAATACAGATCTAGCCAGCAATTTCAACAAAGAAAGACATGGGGGGAAAAGTACAAGTAAGCCATCAAATCGCGGCCAAAGAGCTGGGAGCGAGGGTATCAGAGAAAATGAAGATACAGAAGGAAGTATAACAGCTCAGCAAAGTAACGAAGCGGAGAGTGCACAGTGGGAAATGCCCCCGTCATCACCTGGTGTTGAGCTATCTCAGAAAACATCAGCTGATAAGGTGTCATTTTTAACAGAGGTGCACGCTGAAGACGTCGCGACGTCCGAAACGCGGAACGACGTCCACCTGGGTAAAGCTTACCAGGACCACAGCGATTACTTCAAATGTGGTCCTTGCAACTGCTCCACCACCGCCCACAACCTCACCCACGTCATAGCCCACTGCCAGGAACGCGATATGCGAGATATCCCGAGTAACGTGTCCAGAAATTTGTGGTCGCTCGAAATGTACCAGACGTCATTGGTCACTTTCAACGTGTCGGAGATCCTAGAGTACCGGAGTCTGTTCATCGTGAACGTCACTCAGAACAAACAGCTTACGACCGTCTCCTACGATGATCCGCTTGGAAACCGCACGTCCACCGTGACAGGATTGACATTAAGTGACAACGCCATCTCACACATAGACGATCACAGCTTTTCCGCTTTCGTGCTCCTAAAAACGCTGAGCTTACAAAATAACAGAATCCGCAACATCACAAACGCCACGTTCGAAAAGCTGGCGAACCTTTTCACATTAGATCTATCCCATAACGTTATCAAAGTCATTGAAGTGGGAGCTTTTACCCCTTTGAGAAAGTTGAAAGTTCTTGATCTCAGCTTCAACCGAGGGATGGGCTACTCCGTCAAACATTTATCACCCGCATTACTTTCACCGCTAAAATCCCTCATAGAGCTCTCTATTCAAGGGAACTCCAACGGGGCGACGAGCTACCCCAACCAGGCTTTATCTCGATTGTATAACCTCAAAAATTTAACCACGGACGGCCTGAACACCGTGTTTGGTAAAGAGGTTAGAAATCTGAAGAATTTAATCAGTGTCAGGTTGACGTCACGTCACTTGAAAGTCATCAACCAGACATTTTTCGAAAACGTCCCGCGTTTAAAGTCGCTGGAAATTTTCCAGAGCAGCTTGTCGTATGTGGACGTGTCGGCGTACAAGCAAGTGAATCTCACAAGTTTAACGATGAGCCATTTAGTTAACTACGATCTGTTCACGGCGTTCGATGACTTGCAGGGACTGCAGTACTCTCAGTTGAAAAGTCTCTCATTGATTCGTCTGTATTACAGGTCGTTTCCGTGTCGGTTCTTAAACAAATCACATGCCAAGTACTTGACGAATATAGCTCTCGAGAGACTGGATCTTTCCGAGAACCTCATCGCGCTGCTGGGTCAAGATTTTGCCGATCTGCTCCCGAAGACGTTGACCGCTCTGATTTTAAGGGACAATAAGTTTTCCCTGAGGGGTAACGTCATGACCCTGGTGAGTCATCTGAACGAACTCAAAGAGCTTGATTTAAGCGTGCAAAACCACGACAAACTACGCGGGGGATTTAAAGATCAGGTCTCTGAGCAGGCGCAGTTGACCGGAAGCTGTCAAACGGATAGTAAAGATTGTAGCGTAGGCTCTGTCTCCTGCGATGCGTGTAATAAAATTCTTCAAGCTGGCGCATGCAACAGGGTCTTTGAAAACGATCCATTAACTTACCACACCGAAAGTATTTTTTCAAATATTGTTCAGCCCGCTGGGAATGCTTTGAAATCTGATGAAAAAAAAGATATATTAAATGGTACCGATGAGTTTGCATTGAAACATTTAAGGGAATTCAAAGACTCTGCTCTAGTTAAGCGGAAAAACATAATCGCCATGACTTTCCCCCCTAAATTAAGCGTTCTAAACGCATCGCAGTTTTTTAGCCTTGGCGCCACTGTCCTGACCCCACATTGGCGTAAAAGTAAATTGAAAATCTTGGATTTGTCTAAAAGCTTCCTATCCACCTGGGGTATGGGATCGATGCTGCTGCATATAGAAAGGGCTTTCCTGAGTGAAAATTACTGCAAGCACATACAGCGAAATTTTTTTAAACAAAATAACTCACTGATCTACCTTGACCTTCACGATAACGTGCTCGGTTCTGACTTTGCCGAGGATCTCGATGGCGTCATATTCGCGCAGTTGTCCCAGTTGAAGTACCTGGACATCTCGTTCAACGTCATCTTCTCTCTTCCGTCTCAGTTTTTCAAAGGACTCAAAGATCTGCGGTACCTTAAACTGTCTGACAACAAACTCCAGGTTTTGAACACGACATTCTCTTACATGAGCAGGTTGCAGTACCTCGACCTGAGCAGAAATTCGATCGCCTGGATCAGCAGACAGGTTCGCGATGACCTTGACAGGATCGGAAGTGACCTTTCCGTTGACCTAACGTTAAACCCTTTGCCCTGCACTTGCGCCGCTATTGACCTCCTGGTCTGGATGGCGAACACGAAGGCGCATCTGCTGAAGAAAGATTTCCTCCAATGTCGCTTCGACAACGGCGAAACAGAGCCCATAGGCAACCTCGACGACAGAGTCGTGTCTCTGGAGAGGATGTGTGCGTCCAAAGTCCTCGTTATAGTCATCTGCGTGGCCTGCCTGTTGGTCATGTCCATCATAACTGGCTTTGGATTGATGTACAAACACCGTTGGAAACTACGGTATTTGCTCAACATCACAAAGGCCCGTTTATCCGGATTTAAGCCGAAAGGATCGACCGAAGCCCTATACAAGTTTGACGCGTACGTGATCTACGGAGACGAAACGCGATCGTTCGTTCTGAAAGACTTCATACGAGAGCTCGAAGAGAGGCGCGGCCACACGCTGTGCGTTGAAGACCGTGATTTCATGCCCGGCTCGCCCATTATCGCCGACATTCTCAGTGGCGTGCAAAACAGTTTCAAGACCATCCCAGTGATAACCCCGGCGTTTTACGACGACGGCGACTACGCGGAGTACAGCGTACAAATGGCGCTGATGGAGGAGAACTATCAGAAACGCGACGTGCTCCACCTCTGCATCTATGAGCCCATGGGGCACGGTGACATGAAGAAAGACATTTTCACCGCCATGAGACGCAACAGTTACACCGAGTATCCTCCGCTTGAGGATGCGACAAGGGAAATGCTTCAGGACTTTTGGGACCAGTTGTCCCATGCGATCGGACACAAATCAGGCGATCTCATTGCAGTCGACGATTCTGGATAAATCACAATCTTCTTTTTTTGGTGTGTTTTTTTTTACCTAAATTGTTTCTTTGTATTTAGCCTTTAAATGCGCGATCTCATATTGAAAACATTAGTTAATAGTTCTTGCTTAAGCACGCGTCTCATTTGCTTTCGGCGATATTATTATTAGGCATCTTTCTTTGAATTTTAATTTTTTTTGTTTAAATGCATGTCATTGTCAATACTATCAGAAATAGTGTTTTAAATAAACACTTAACTGTGGATTGAAAATGATGAAATTTGACACTTTGTTTTTCTTTAATAAGTTGTCTATAATATTCCACAAATCTTTAAAAAAAAAAAAATCTTTACAACCTTAGTTAAATGAAGAATACAAAGAAGATCATCGAGCTCTTCAAAGCTACATTCTTTAGCATCTGTAATATTTTGAGCCTTATATAAACATATTAAAGCAACAACAACAAAAGTACTTCGTTGTTAGAATGCGAGATGAGCATTGACAGTGAGAGACGCTAAAGTCGAAAATTTATTATTTACATTTTTTTTTTAAAATTCACGTTACGGTGAAATGTAGGTTTAAATAACACAGTGGTTCTCAACCTTTCTAATGCCGCGACCCTTTAATACAGTTTCTCGTGTCGTGGCGACCCCCCAGCCACACAATTATTTTCGTTGCTACTTCATAGCTGTAAGGATATGTGTTTTCAGATGGTCTTAGGCGACCCCTGGAAAAGGGTCACAGGTTGAGAACCGCTGAAATAACAGGTCATCTAATTATAGATATTTGTCATAATTTCTTTTTTCCTTTTTCCAGTAAACGTCAAAGAGTTTAATTGTCTAAATCAGGATATTCCCGCTCAAGATAAAACTTCCCCTACGTGCACTAAAATTGCTAATCTAATTGAAGCAGAGAATGTAACAGCGGATTTTTTTTTTTTTTTTTTTGGGGGGGGGGGGGTGTAAATTTATGTATGATTTGTTCTTATAAATGGGGATACCTTTCTAATACCATATAGATTGCACGATGTCAATGGAAACACATACACGTCATACTCTACTAAACACCCTAGCTTAATGCACATATGTATGCACATTCATTTGGCTATTGATTTTCGTGTTCAGCTTTGCTGACTAGAATAGCCATTCAACATTCAGGAATAAAATGAAAGAAATAACGAGGCACGATAAGATTATGTTAAATGAAATTTCAAAAAAATCGAATAAACCTTTTTATATTGATAAACATTTCTTTTGAAATTTGTTCATGTCTTCTTAGTGTTACGTTGAGCAGACCAATTGTTTTGCAATTTTACACAAGTCGACTTTAGCTTAATTGCATTACGTTACGAACTTTGCAAATAAAATGATCCAAACCTTTTTTTTTTTATTCCATAGGATCAGTATTGATTAATTACATTTCAACTAACAAAATGGATTCTTTGGAATACTTTGAACCAGGGGCCTGAATGAACTTCACATTGCCCAGTGCAATGTATTACATTTGTGTCAGTCTGTTTAGTAAGCGGCCGGGGGGAGGGGAGGGGTTGAGGGGGGGGGGGAGTACTCTCGGTGTGTTTATGGAAATCTAAGTGTTGTATTAAAAGTAATTGCTCTTTAACAAGAACACAGCTATTTCCGACCAGCCGGGAATTTCATTGAAACCACTGGAGTTGTTAAGGGCGTGTGGCGGTCAGGGTGCAATCATTGACTTCGCCCCTAGTTCATGAAACGCACGATGCACATATTAATGCACATGCACCATAAGCCGTACAAGAAGCACAAAGAATGCAATCGATAATGACCTCCTATAAAAGTAACTTCCGTGGCGAGATGATACTCCCATCCCCTTCTTCACATGTTTATAAATCACAATTTTGTTGTTGTTGTTCAACTTGAATTTTAAAGATAACATTACCACAGTTTAATGCATTTTAAAAAGAAGAAAAAAAAAGAGAAAAAAAAGAGAGAAAAAAATGTTGGAAAGTCATTAGAATTACGCTGCGCCTGTATGAAATAGAAACATATTATTACAAAAATACGCTTGCAATTAATCTTTGACAACTTAGTTCATTATTTACTGGAATGAACAATTTTTAGATTGTTGTTTATCAGATCCTGCATGTCCACTCAAACCTTGCAAACAACTCACGGTGTACAATGATGTATTTCATTCACAATTTGTTTTAAATAATAATAATAATAATAATAATAATAATAATAATAATAATAATAATAATAATAATAATAATAATAATAATAATAATAATAATAATAATAATAATAATAATAATAATAATAATAATAATAATAATNACGGGAAATTTTTTTTTTTTTTTAAATTGCTTTATTTGCTTTGTAAAATGTAAAACCAGTAGTCCTACCGGCTGTGTTGCCCGGCTGTGTTTCCCGTCTATGTTGTACGGCTGATTTGCCCGGCTGTGTTGCCCGGCTATGTTGCCCGTATATGTTGTCCGCCTATGTTGTCCGGCTGAGTTGCCAAAATCTACTGTCCGGATTTGTTGCGGAGATAAGATTTAATTTAATTTGTTCAATACGGAAATTGTTCATGAACATTAATTTGTTATATCCCCATGTTAATGAGGATTGTTTAGTTTTTTTCCCAGCAACGTGCCTTTTAAAATAATAACCAGTGTGACGCAACCAGTAAGTCTCTTCCGCCTAACCTTATAACCAGTGTGACGCAACCAGACAGCCTCTTCCGTCTAAAATTATAAACGGTAACACACAAGCAGTAATTTTCTTCTGCCCAACCTTATAACCAGTTTCATACAACCAGTAATTCTTTCTGACCAACCTTATAACCGGTACGATACAACAAGTAAGTCTCTTCCGTCCAATGTGGTAACCGGTGTGACGCAACCAATAAGTCTCTTCCACCCAACCTTCTAACCGGTATGATACAATCAGTAAGTCTCTTCCACCCAACCTTATGACCGGTATGATACAATCAGTAAGTCTCTTCCACCCAACCTTATGACCGGTATGATACAATCAGTAAGTCTCTTCCACCCAACCTTATGACCGGTATGATACAATCAGTAAGTCTCTTCCACCCAACCTTATGACCGGTATGATACAATCAGTAAGTCTCTTCCACCCAACCTTCTAACCGGTATGATACAATCAGTAAGTCTCTTCCACCCAACCTTATGACCGGTATGATACAATCAGTAAGTCTCTTCCACCCAACCTTATGACCGGTATGATACAATCAGTAAGTCTCTTCCTAAATAATAATAATAATAATAATAATAATAATAATAATAATAATAATAATAATAATAATAATAATAATAATAATAATAATAATAATAATAATAATAATAATAATAATAATAATAATAATAATAATAATAGTCTGTATGTTTGCTTTAAGGCTATCACGTTCGATGTGGGATAAAAGAAATACTATTGATTTATTTCTTGGTGTTTTGTCGATATTGTCAATATTTCCAAACATCGATACATTCGAAAAAACGACAACAACAAACAAACTATGGCATCAATCGCCTTGTGGTGAAACGCTCAGCTATCGCTCAGGGGCGTATGCCATTTTTTGTAGTAAAAACAAGTTGTAAGATTTCATATGAAAAACCGAACTATGAAACATTTAATATTTAAAAAGAAAACCGCCTAAGATTTTTTTTTAAAGAGATGAAAACTCTTGAAAGCGAAGCAGCGGTAGAATGCCTAGTTCCACCATTTGAAAACTCTTGAAAGCGAAGCAGCGGTAGAATGCCTCGTTCCACCATTTGAAAACTCTTGAAAGCGAAGCAGCGGTAGAATGCCTCGTTCCACCATTTGAAAACTCTTGAAAGCGAAGCAGCGGTAGAATGCCTCGTTCCACCATTTGAAAACTCTTGAAAGCGAAGCAGCGGTAGAATGCCTAGTTCCACCATTTGAAAACTCTTGAAAGCGAAGCAGCGGTAGAATGCCTAGTTCCACCCCACCCCCCCCCCCGATGATCACAGGCGTCAAATATTTAAAGGTTGTCAACAAGTTTCCACTGGATGCCCGGATACGTTTAGTATAAAGACAAGCGCTTCAAAGACAAGTTTCAAGATTGCCGACGGCACCCAAAAGTTATAAATAATTGCACAATAGTCGTATAAATTTACCGTCGCGTGCTAGTGCATTTACACACTGTGTAGGCCTCAATGGTCTCACAGTACTGTATTGACACAATGTGTAGGCCCCCTAGATCTTTGGGCAGTTTATTGATTC